CTTGTAACAGCTTGCAGTCTCATTTTGAAATTATTGTTTGTACATATAGTGGCTTGGGCGATCGCATTTTTTTAAGATTTCTAAAAATAATGAACAACTCTGTCTGCCACTAACGATGAATATTGTCTGCTCATGTAAGATTTTAGAAGTTGCTCTGTATCTTTCTTTTTATTTCAGTTTTATTGTTTTGTCTTATTTTGTCATTGCCGTTGTGGATTCTTCTATACACATTGATTGGTTTGCGTTCTCTTCGTATTGCTTTATATGTTAAATATATTTAAAATACGTTTAATAATATTTTTGATTAATTGGCACTACAACCATCGTACCGACCAACTTCAGCTGTGATTAAATAGGAGTGTATACGACTTAATGGACCGAAACATTCCTGCTTAGCTGATTATTATGCAATGTTAACTTTGACATTAGAACTTATTTCATATAAATCTTCACCAAATTTTTGAAATATTGCCATTTATAACATTTATTTTCTCCCAGTTCTCCATTTTCCCTCATGTTATCTTTTTGATGTTACATTTTGTTGTGTTTTTTTTTCGAGTTTTTTTTTGGCCGTTTTTTTACAAGGTTTTTTTTTCATACATTTTCACAAGGTTTTTGTTTTTGTCTTATATTTTTGTGCCCTTTTTTACAGATTTTTGTTTTTTTTATTGTTGAAAATTTTGTTGTATTAAGGGAAACTGCATTTTGCAGGATTAAAAACATCCGTGCAAGTTGGTCTTTGAAAGTACCATGAAATACTTGATGTACTTGATCGGCTTTTTTCATAGTTTACCTCTTCAATTGCATAGCTGGCAACTTTCCCAATAGCTTTTATCAGACACACATAGAGGGCACGTCATTAGTCTAGCTTATTAACTGTTAGGGTCACAATATCACAAAAATTGCTTTTCCTGCATTGCTATGAGTTACTTTGTTAGCTTGCTAAGAGGTTCGAATTGTGGAATTTGTGGTACCGGGTTTTTTTTGGCTAGATAAAGTTTTAAATGTCATATTCAAGGTTCCAGACTTCCCTTCAGTATCGAGGTTCGGGCTGAACATGAAAAATTCCGAGTGGCACTTTTTCCCGTAAAATTTGCCCCCGTTCTCTTTTTTCACCTTTAGCCAGGATCTCAGTTTCTTTTGCAGTCAGTGCCTTGTCCCTTCACCTTCGCTACGTCTCTGGGACGAATTAAACCATAATTCTCGGTTCCTGTCACTTTCCCTCCCCCTCTTCAACTTATCTCCGCTTTCCGATCATTGCGGAAATTCACTCAGGTCATTTTAAAAATAACTAATTTTTGTTGATAAAATTGTTCCAGCTCTTCCGTTATATGATTACATGGATCATCAATTCTCGGATCATATCATCTCCCGGTAGATGGTGATAAATGTTTTGGCGAAATTTTCGATGACAAAAGGTTTATTTTCATGTTTTGATTTTAAAAAAAACCCAGGCACCAAGCTTGCCGATGCGATCATGCGTTTTTGCACCAAACTTGAAGCAGTTAGGTCGTTAACTGCATGAATGGTTGTTGCTTCACACCTGCCTTGCGCGCTCACTGCCATAAATCATCGTAAATTTTGCTTAAAAGAAAATGCGATAAGCTGGTGATTTGCAAGCTGGGAAGCTGAAATTTTGTCTCCGACTAAAATTTCATTCGGTCCGTACCGCCCTGGGATTCCTTCATTAAACAGTTCGGGGGAAAGATCCGCTCCTGGGATGGGGATTCAGCTAACAACCCGAAAAGGCGATTTTATGCATTAAAAAGTGCTTTTTTTATCATTAGATTGCTAAAGATTACTAAATTGTCGGGGATTTCTGGATTAAGCTTTTCTTTTAGGATGTGTTTGTTGTCGTACGGTTCGAAGCTGGCAAAAGAGGTCCGTCTGGTGGTACGAATCAGCGGTGATAACGTATCATTGAGGGGTCTGCGTCGAGCCTTGTATAATTTCTTGTTTGCTCGTGCGAACAACGGAAAATTCATCCTACAGCTTGCGCTAAACAGACATGGCAGGCAACCTCGGGCCAAGAAAATCGAAGCCCTCCTGGATCGATTTGGCCTGGAGCAAGATGAAGGCCCAACAGTTGGTGGACCATTTGCCCCATATTCGGTGGCCAAACGCCTGAAAACATACGCCGATGTGGTGGAACGTCTGATCGATACCCAGTGTGCTTATCGATGTTTTTGTTGCGGTGATGCCTGGAAAGAGGTTCGAATTGTTTTTTTAATGCGTTTTTTACTGTATAACAGCAGTACAAAACGAACACTGTCACGGGGTTGTCTGTGTGTGTGCCCGCAGCAACTTGTCCGCAACTGTCAAATCGAGAACCACAGAATCTAAGAAGCTGGAATTTGGGGGAACATTCCTCACCCACGTCTGATCCCGCAAATTTAAATTCAGCTTCCCCGCACCCGTGGGTAACAAATACAGCCCCTTGAAAGTTTTTTTACGGGTAAATTAATATGTCGCGAACTACGGAGTCTAGGAGGCTGAAATTTTAGGGTAATGACCTCCTGCCCATACCCAATCTTGCCCATTCAAATTCAGCGTTCCCGCGCTCTCGGGTTTCACCTACGGCCTCGTGAAAATTTTGGTGGGTAAAGTATTAACTCGGGATAAAGATTTTCATTCTTCAAGCTTTCGAATTTTGTTTTCATGCGCTGGTGCGTGAAATTTTTAACTGTTTTCGATACTCCTTCAAGGTTTCGAAATCAGCTTTCATACGCTGGTGCGTGAAATTTTTAACTGTTTTTCAATGTTAGAACTATTTTTGCATAGACTAAAGTACAAAGCAGTGAAAATCATTAATAGGCAATCGTTCGATGGGGTGAATTGTACAAAACGTATGATTGCACCGACTAGTCTGGTGCGAGTTGCTATTTATTTTTTTTCGAGCTGTGATTACTTTACACCAGTCATGGGCAACCTTTGGCAAGATACGGGCCTGATTTACATACTATTTACATACTCTTAATAAAACCCAGGTATTAAACGCACCAGGCTTGCCCTTGCGATCATGCGTTTTTGCGCTGAACTTGATGTAGTCTCGGATCGTTAACAGTATGAGCAGTTACTGCTTTACAATTTAACACATGCAGTTCATGTGCCTATGTTTTGGTCTTTTCTTGCATGCGAGGGAAAAGGGCGTCGTACAGGGTTGCTCTCGAAATCATAAGTTTTGCATTTGCATAAGATGCAAAGACCCATAAAAACAGATAAGTTTTTATGAGGTTGTTCATTCAGTAAAAAAAAAGTAATGGCAAGTTAATGTGGGCTCTGAGCTTGAACTTTTGACACAAGATTATTGAAATCTGGATTTATGTTATTTATACGGAGTCTCAAATTATTTTCCACATTGTTTCGTCCATCCGTTATCTGACATTCATGCCACCTGACCAGTCCATCTCCTCTTTCTGGCGTACATTACTTCAATAATATCTTTCACACCAGATCCGGCTCGTAGCACTTCATTTGGAATGTGCTGTAGCCTGTTGGCGCCAGTCATCCGCCGTTCCATTGCTCTTTGAGACACTGCCAATTTCCGTCCTTCAGCAAAAGTGGTGTTCCATGTCTTACATCCATATAACATAGCTGATAGGACGATCGAATTGTAAACTGCTGCTTTCTGGTAATCGTCGAAAAAGAAACAAGTAGGGGTTCCCCTACATGTAGAGCAGAAGTTGTAATTTTTTTTCCAATTTTTTAAAATGTTTTTCAATTCATTTGATATTCAGACTGATCCGACGCTAAAGGAACCGGTGAAATTGCCGCTCTGCAGCAGTAAATGCGCTCTGAGACCACGGAGTGAATCAAAAATTATGGCGAGGGATGGGATGCCGCATACTGTTCGGCTAAAGATTGCTGCGGGTACATTTCAGTATCGAGATATTCTGGAAGGTATGTTACCGAGGCCCGTACCGGCCATGGATCAAGTGCTGCTCAGGCCCAATTCTATGCCTACATCATTTTTTGCGAACATTGTTGATAATCATACGCTCTGTGCAAGCCATTACGTTGCTTCCACATCACGCGATTTTCTTCAACTTCCGGTCTATGAGGCCCTGCAATGGCCAACACCAATTTTTATAAATATCGGAAATCTGATACTCCGAAATGGCCCGCGTTTTTCGCTGCCCAGC